ACGGCATGTATTATCGTAGGGGGACATGAGGGAGAAGGAGGGAGGAAGAGTGCCAGGCCCAAAGCCAGTCGAAAAGGGGGCCCGCAACTCGTATCTCAAGGTCTCTCCTAGCCGCCTCTCAAGGCAATCCCATCTGCGGTACACGAAACCGCCAGTGATTTGGTACAATCCGACTAATCTACCTCCACGCACGAACATGCTTCAAAGGTGAGATACCCGTAGTCAGCAGAAACGGGGGCTTCTTGATTTTTTTTTTCCTCCCATCATCGGACTCTGTCGTCTGCCCCTCTGGCCCCTATCCTCTACTTCTACTAGCTAGACGACCCAACCGGGGTCACATAGGAGGGGAGGGCTGGACCCCTTCCTTCGGTTCCTGCGTGAGGTATTTTTATCGCGAGAAGGGTACAGCAATCCCTTTCTCGCGACTTACGAAGTCGATTATGGTTTACTAACAACGGGTTTTGCAGCGCGTCGCTTTCATCCTAGACCAGGATAGGGTGGTTCTTAACGACCAAAAAAACACGGAACATTTCACGGAAGCGTGTTTTCTTGAACATATACGGAGGCGTTTTTCCCCGGAAACATGAAAAGGAGCCGGGATTTTTCGGGGCTTGCTACTTTCACGGATCCGTGTTGATGACAGAAACATCGGACAAGTGCACCGCGGGCACTGTAACATCACTGACAACCTAGAAAGACCTGCCAGACTTACGTCCAGGTCTGCTGTGGAGATGGACAACCGGCAGAAGCGGCCTTCAGTCCGTTTTTGGTCCAAAACTAGACATCGCGTGGTGTTCTCGTCTTCAACTGCTGCAGTTGGTGCCGGGGAATTTTTTTCAATCACACATAGCAAACTCGGAAACAGAAGAACGGGTACAGCAGCATTACCAAGACCTCCAACGCGCTGATTCCTTCGGTTCGGCTGTCTATCTATGTGATACCATCTCCCGGCGCCGTACTGCTTCGTGGGTATTGGGTGCTTGGGTGCTGCTCAATAAGGTGTGTGAGAGACGTGTGCCACCTCACCAAAATGCCGTTGGAAAAAATGCGGCGAGATGTTCTGTTTTTGGTCGGACACGTCAACATCAATCCACGGCACCGCGCAGCAGATGAGCAGCAGGGCCTCCGACACGCTAATTCTTTCGGGTTGGCCATCGATATGATGCTGGCCGTCAGCGCGGCTGCCGCCCTATGATTGTTGAGCTCGTCCATCTTTGGGCAGGTGTTGGTCAAAGATGGGAGTCGCAACCGTGGAAAATGAGCTGGCAAACTGAAGAAATCGCAAGCAACACCCAGGTTGCGACACTCTGCCCTGCGCCTGTTGTTGTTGCTGAAAACTGAAAACAGCAGGCCGGGTGGATAGGATCTAGNATGATGCTGGCCGTCAGCGCGGCTGCCGCCCTATGATTGTTGAGCTCGTCCATCTTTGGGCAGGTGTTGGTCAAAGATGGGAGTCGCAACCGTGGAAAATGAGCTGGCAAACTGAAGAAATCGCAAGCAACACCCAGGTTGCGACACTCTGCCCTGCGCCTGTTGTTGTTGCTGAAAACTGAAAACAGCAGGCCGGGTGGATAGGATCTAGTCTATATTAAGTGTGTTGTCCTCTGTGTCGGGTGCTGCTCATTGCGCTTTTACCGCTGCTCAATGGTGAGCTACACCAACTCAACCTGTTGTGTGCCGAGCAAAGCGTGTGTTCAGGGAAGGAAACATACTTTTTGCGATGATATCACGAATAGAACAAGCGAAAAAAAGCCGGGTTTTCTTGTCACCGTTCCGTGGAAAATTTCACTACTTGTCCGAAGCGTTAAGAAACACCCTTATTTAGTGAGAAAAAAACTCGGTAGTGTTATATACGACACCGGTGTCGTACTTCCTTATATACGACACCTACCATTTCTTGGCCCACAGGGCTCCAATCGGCGTACAACAAAATGCGCTGTGTAGCCACGGCCCGCAGCTATCAGCCCATACCATTTTGGGTCAAATCGGCCAAGTGGTTGAAGAGTATATAAGCTTATCTAAGACACCGCCCTTGGGGACACCGTCCAGCTGGGTGTAGGCGTACCATAGCACTGACTGGGTGGATTTCGCCCCCACAGCGGCTTGAACGATAGCTCTGGCCTGTACGTACTCATCGCGAGTTTACGTGCGATCAGGCGATGTCTGTGCAAGGAGTTACGACCGGAACGTCGCTGACACCCCCCCGGTAAGTTGCGGAGCCCCCTATTTTCGGCTTTTTCTCCGCAACCACTTGGCCGATTTGACCCAAAATGGTATGGGCTGATAGCTGCGGGCCGTGGCTACACAGCGCATTTTGTTGTACGCCGATTGGAGCCCTGTGGGCCAAGAAATGGTAGGTGTCGTATGTAAGGAAGTACGACACCGGTGTCGTGTATAACATTTTCAAAAAAAACTCACTCTGCCGGGACTCAAACCCCATGACCTGGCCCTTATTATAGCAGGCTGCGAGGTCACCCACTAGACCACCGGGGCGACGGGTGTTCTTGATGTACCCCCACGGCTATTCGCGGTAGAAGCCAGTGAGAGACCGTAAATGCCCCACGCCCAGAAAGAGAGACGAGAAGCCGCGGCCATGATTATTGCAACAAAGCACCCATCCATCCGTATCCAAATGTCTGCGTCTCTGTCGGCCCAAGCCAAGGGCTTCCCGGCTTGGAAGAGTTAGTCTAATTCTTCGAATAACCATGTAGTCTACAGTAGATAGATGGCCATCTTCGACGCTCCTTCGCAGATAAGATTGCGTCCGTAGGTCGGTACGGGTCGCCTACGGGCGGGCGCATTCCTATTTTTCTGCGTCTCTGTCGGCCCAAACCGAAAGCTTTCACGGCTTGGAAGAGTTAATTCTTCGAAGAACCAACCATAGTCTAGACTACATACATCTTCGACTCTCCTTTTATGTACGTAGTAGGCGCGGGGCATTCACGTGACTCGCTCTTGCTGCGAATAGCCGTTGAGGCAGACCCGCGTTTCAGCTGATTGCGAGTACAGTGCCGGCCCGCACTTAAGAACCTCCTATATTGGGCGAGGCTCAGTTCTTAGTGGCTGCCCCAACCCGAGCGCCAGTTCTTATTTGCCAAGTTCTTATTTCGTCGTCCATTCTTCTCCAGAACGGGGCGTTCTTGTTCTTTCAGTATTTTAACATCATTTGCTATATTGTCGGCTGTCAACCATGAGCAACACTAGTACTGCTGTCGATACAAGAAAATACCAAGGCATGGAGCAGCAACTGTCAACCTTCTTAGTCCACAAGGGTGACGTTGGTCCTGCGTACCCTTCCCGATCTACTAATGCTCTCAAGCAAAACCCAGGAGCCTATAGCCGTATCCGAATCTCCGCTGTACTTGTCTAAGGGCAACTTCAT